GACGAAAGCGCCGGCTGCTGCGAGCAGGGTGGGGGACGGCCCCTGGCGTTGGCTCCCGGTTGCTGCCAGGGCCCCGGAGCCGCCCTTGGTTGTGTGGGGAAGGGGGGGCTGTGAGGGCTGCCTGGACCCGCCGGGACCCACCAGCAGCTCGTCAGCAGTGAAGTGCTGCCCGCTGCCGGTCCGCCCGTCTCAGGGCGCTCTGCGGCGAGTGGACGTTGGAGGAGGCGGGAGCCCAGGATGGAACGGAGCCGCTGAAGGTGAGGCTGGGGCTGAAAGGATTAAAAAGGGGTTAAATGAATGACGATCTGTGTGGAGCTGGGAATGAAATACCAGCCAGTGGAAACACGGGGCGTCCCGCAGGGATGGTGCAACCGGTAGAGGGGGACGCAAGATGGCGCGCGGAGCTGAGGGAAGAGCGGTGCTCCTGGGGCGGGTTGTTGGCTGCCGTTCGAGCAGGAAGCGTGCGGTGCAGGGGCACTTAGCACAGCACAGCACGGCGGGCTGCTCCGCATTACAAATCTGTAGGGTTTTGAAGAAGAATTGGCAGTAGCTCTGTTACTGGCAGGTCTGGATTAAAAGTCCTGGAGAAATTGGAGGCTGGCAAATGGTATCAGTTTCCTTCATGTTCTTGGTTTTTGCAGTACTTAAATGATGTATGAATTTCTACGTAGTAACAGAAAGGGCAAAATGAAAGGGTGGCAATAGCAGAGCCTGGGTAAGAGTAGCAATGTTGGTTGAGGAAATCAAAGACAGATGGCAGTTTTCTCTACACCCTCCTTGCCTCAGAAATGGTGGAGCATTAGGATTCCACTGTGGTAGTAGGGCCACCACCAGAAGAAATGTACCCTGATGTGGTCGCATGTTGGTATAGTGAGGTCTTTACTTCTAAAGTGACTAATGTGTGAGCTCTGATAGTGTACTTACCCAGCTGTGCTTCAAGTGTGTGGCTTAACATACTTTTTTTATTATTTTTTTTTTTAAGCAGAGGAGTATCAGAAACCGCTGTGCTCTTCAGAGTTTGAAATGAGCCTTTTCCAAATGTCAGGTTTTGCACTGGTTTTTGGTAGCACAGGGATGTTTTGGGTGTTGCTCAGCCTCTGGCCTTGTTTTTCTGGAGTGGGCTGGGGGTGTAGGAGCAGCTGGGAGGGCACACAGCTGGGACAGCTGATTGTAGTGATGGCCTACACTGACTGTGTGGCTATGTTGCTCAGCAGTAACAGCTGTAGACAAAGGAGGAAGGGGAGACAGAGTTGTGGCTTTTGTCTTCCCAAGTAGATGTTGTGTGTGCTGGAGATGGCTGAAACAGGCCTGCCAGTGCAAAGTGGTGAATGAATTCCTTGTTTTGCTTGCTTGTGTCTGCACCGTTTGCTTTACCTGTTAAATAAAAGAAATAAACAATAAAAAAAGATTAAATAAAAAACCTCATGGGTAAAACTCATGGCTTTTTACCTCAACCCATGAGTTTTCTCACTTCTACCCTTTTGATTCTCTTCCCTATCCAACTGCAGGGGAGTGGAAAAGAGGCTGTAAGGTTTAGCTGCATACCAGGGTTAAACTGCACTGAGAAGTTATTAAGCAGTTGGTGAAGTAATGCTGATGTAATGTTTTTAACTTTCTTGTTTGTAGGGCTAGGCCAGAGACCATCAACGTTTCTCTTCTCAGCTCATAGTGCACTTAACAAAGGCTGTTTCTGCCTGTGTGTTAGTTTCTAGCATCTACTGGAATTCCAGATTATGGAATGAAATAGAATTCAGGGGTGGTAATTAATTCTTACAGAGTTTTGTGTTATCTCTAGTTTGCCTAAATGATGTAGTTATCATACAGCTGTTGAAAATCATATGCAAAATACAGAGCTAAGAGCAATGCTATCTCTGTAATTCCCAGGAAACAAAACCTCCTCGGACTTCCTTGATCTTAGTATCAAAATCGACTCCAGGTTTGTTTCTAACAAACACTTGTGTTCTGTCCACTGGTTTTGACTAAGTGTGTTACTTTCAAAACAGGATATACAGGAAAAGAATATGCTGTGTGAATATAGCCTATAGATACAGAGTTTAAGGTATGTGCATGTAAATGTATGATGGTGCACAATGTTTGCATTTCCTCAGGTTGTGTAGGTTGACTAAAGTGATGCTACTTTTACCTCTTTATTTTCAGCAAATTAGCTTTGGGTAATGGAGAGCAAATGTATGCTTTGACATGAAAGTCAAGAAGAATAGTGCATTATAGCATTTTTTAAGTTCGCCAGAAAAAATGTTCTATTTATTGTGTCACAGGGATGATATAAAGCATGAAGACTAATGATAGTATTAGCTGTTATTTAGATGTGTCACCAGAGTATTTGGAAATGCACAGTCAGGTGGCTCTGGTTCTGAAGGGTGCGTGGTGGCCCTCAGGAGTCCACAAACCCAATGTAGACATCTCAGCTCCTCAGGAGTGAGTGGGTTCTTTCCCGTGGCAATGCTGACAGTCTGTATGGTCTTGGCTTCAGTGAGGCGTAAATACAAACTGCGGTTTGTTCTTGGGGCTAGTCCTACAGCTTGGACTTTGTGTGGTTTCTGCCCACCATACATAATGAGTATTTAATTGCACTGTGTAAAATGAAACTTGATTCAGGGAACTGAGTCTTTTACTTCAGTCAACTTGCTGAAGACCTGATTGGAGGAGTCATGGAAGAAAGTGGTACAAATTCCAGGCTCTGCAGAAATGAAAGTTAATTCTGTAGTAACAAATTCCCAGCTGTATTCTGTCACTACTGAGCTGTTTAATTAAAAAGGAGATACTAGTGTCAAGTGTTCTTCCTTGGGCATGAGGGAAAGAGAACAATGTGCATGTGTGTTTCTGCACATGTGCCCACTGATTAGTGAAGGAGTTCTTTAGACCATTTCCTTTGTAATAGAAGTACTTACCTGAGAGCAAGTCAAAGATGACTTGGTTTTGCTAATGCAAATATTGTGGAGTTGCTTTGTGCTGGTTTGGGTTTGGGTTTGTTTTTTTTTTTTCCCTTCCAGCAACAACAGCTTTGCAGTGTAGTCTTCAATTCCTATACATGGGGGTGTTATGTAGTTTAGAAAATATGATAGATTCGGCTGCTTCCTAGGAAAACTCGCTGTTGTTCAGGAAGTGCTGCTGCAGCAGCTAACCATAAAGCAACTTTTATATATATATAGATAGATAGATAGATAGACAGATAGATAGATAGATCCTTTATGCGGTTGTGGCGAACATAAAAGAATGAAAGTGTAGCTGCTGCACCTGCACTAGGCAAAGCTGTAATAGCTAAGGGGATGGTTGTCCCCACTCCTGGGGTTCCTGGATCACAGCTGGAAATGGTGGGCAGGCCCAAGCTGTCAGCACTGATACAAGTAATGGTCATCTTTGCGTATCTATACGTAAGTTATGCATTATAAATAATTGCAAAGGTAGCTGAAGAGTCTTATGTTCCTGATTGTTTTCCTGTTCATTCTCCTTAAATACAGTCTCAGACACGAGATGCTCTCCCAGGCATTTTATGCCATTTTCCAAGTTCAGAGGTACGCATGTGAGTTGGATCTGGGACATGCAGTAATACACAGGGTGGTGTTACTTGTCTTTAAAGAACAGAAAACTTAAAATGCCAAAGGTTACAGAAGAGATTTCATTTCTTTGGCTTTCACTTCTACATTAATAACTTGCAGTGTTATGGTATTTATTAAAGAAAAAACCCCACCTTTTTTAGTAAGGATTTAAAAGCATTTTATTGATTGTTGTCCTATAAAATCATAATAGTCTTTAATTCCTGAAAAATTGTGTCCAACAATAGTAAAAATGAAAAAAGTCTTTAAAAACCACTAGAACATTTTTTTAAAAACTAGGTATGAAAAATATATACAAAGTATTAAAAAATCTGAATAAAATTAATTTCTGGATTTATACATTCAGCTGTGTTAAACATCTGCCTGTGTACAACACAATTTGTTAAAATATTAGCAGTATTTTTACTATGTTAAATAGTCTGTTCAATTTACAATTTCTCTCATTACTATTAGTTCACTTAATTTACAAGGCTCTGTAACTGCTGTCAGACTGTCAGGTAAGTGGTTTTGTGCAAAATTACTGCCTAATGTATTGTAAATTGGTACAGAGATAAATCTTTATAAACATCCAATTCACTCACACATCAAATCAACATAACTACAGTACATAAAACAACATACAAAGGTGGGGAATCTAACAAAGAGAAAGCCTTGATAATGCAACTTTTCCCCTCATTTTTGTTCAAAGTGTTTTCTGCCCTGCTGAGTTACCAGCTGGTCCTTAAAAAGGTGAAGGCTTTTATAATACAAACTGTCACACCTATATACAAAAATACGCACTGAAATCTACTTTATTTTTGAGTGCATTTTCTTCACACAACATGAAGTAGTGGTGGTTTTCTGTGAAATTCCAAAGCTAAACTGCAGATGCTAAAATTTAGCAGGTGTTGTGTGTAGTGCAATTGTGAGAGGTCTTCTCTGGAACAGAGAAGAGCACATGTGAAGCAGCACCAACGCAGCACAGTCCCTGTAGTGTTTTATCTACCTCTCTTGTGCCTTTTTCCTGGAAACAAAACAGACATTTCCAGCAATTAACACTCCTTTAAAACACCTGTGCTAATATGGATCTGAGACCAAGACAATTAACATTATACATTCTGCAGTCTGCTGTTTCTTGCTTTCACAAATCCTTTCAGAACTGCAGCAGCAGGAGAAGAGAAAGTCTTGTGTCAGCTTTGCTAGCTTCAAAGAGAGAGCCAATCACTTCATCCAAGGCCTGGGATTTCCCTGGGTTTCTGCTGGAGAGGTAGTCCTTTATGAATGACAGAATTGGTTATTCTACACATGGATTCTGACACAACTAGGGAGTATCCTAGTAACATACTGTCTGGTACTGGGACTGTAATGTTGCAATTTCTGAGGAACAGGAAACCTGCACACTAACTGCTGCAGAGTTCTGCCTCTGAAAGAGAGTCAAAATACTCAAAAACCAGGGAGAAGGAATACTTTACTTGAAGAGGGAGGGATGGAGGAACTAAAGCTGAAACTGAAACTTAGGTCAAAAGATGTGTGACTGATCTCCAGTGCCTAAGAAGCTATTTATAGCTGAAATCTGCTACTGGTTGAGCCAGGTTCAGTTCAGAGCTCTCAAAATGAAGGGATGAGTGTCTGAAATATCAGTGCTCCCTTAACTAGGTTTTTCGCATTGGTGACCCACATCTTCCATGTGTCAGCCATGGGACGTAGCCCTGCCCACTGACAACATCTAGTGCAAATCCTGCAGTGCAGCATGAAGAAGCACAAATACTACACATTGGTTTCAAGTCCCAGTAAGCGTCCCATCCGCTCCATGTTCTTGTCAATCGTGGCACGACATGTGATCTCTTTAGCACACTCCATAGGAAACCAGCCTCTTTCACCATCTCTGAGCCGCTCCCCTTCATACCAACCTGCAAGGTGAAGGGACAAGGAGTAACAAACTTTTTCAAGTGATGTTAAAGGTAACTTGCTAGAACTGTGTGTGTTGCACTTCAGTAAACACAATCATCACCTACATCATACATTTATCTTCACAGGGAGTAGCAGAAGAAACTACTTAATCTGCTACTTCTTAAGATAGGGTTTTTTTTATACAGGTAGACTAGGAACAAACTAATATGTAAAATAAATACTACATGAAATCAGTAATTCAAATATATTTTGAAATAAAGATTACAGTATCATTGCAATCTAGCAAAAGCAATGAAGCACAACTGCTAGGGACTTTGATTTTTGTGTGTAATACTGAATAACAGCATTAAGATTTCGTATGTCAAGTGCTGACAGCTTCAAGCATCACTGAGTCAGCACAGTGTGAGATATGAGTAGAATCTCTTGCACATCCAGGCAAGAATCAATTTTGATCTTGGGCTACCTGATGCCATGGCAAACAGGCAAAAGCAGGCAGTGAAGCACAGTGTATAACATGACTATTAACATGGATGTTTCTCTTACCCAAACCTGGTGCTTACTCAATAAAACGAACACAAGCATTCCTACATGAGCCCCATGGTTTTTGGTAGAATTCTATTTCTCATTTGCAGACATTTTACAAGCAGCCAGCACATACTTTGAAAATCTGTTGCCTAATCAGAAGCTGTCCTTCAGAAACCTGAACTGAAATGCTCAAGGGTTTCTTGGAGGCTAATTCATTGTCCAGCCACTGCTATTAGAAAACAGACTTTTCTAACTGGATCAGTTGCAGTGGTGACAGGTGGTTAGTGACAGCAAAGTTCTCACTCACCATCATTTACTTTTTGATAAACCAAAACAACATCAGCAACCTGAAGAGAGAGTTCATCTGACTGCTTTGCTGTGTAGGTTCTGATGATCTCTACCTGAGTCAAAGCTGTGAAAAAAGTAAGCCAAGCTGAATTAAGCCATTCATATAACAGATCATCTTCTATGAAAATATGCATATAATTAATTTTAAACATTTCCTTTTTAAAGTACACCCTCCAAACAGAAAAACCACAAAAAACGAACCACACCAAAGGAGGCAGCAAGTTATGCACAGGGCTTCCTGTCTAAGCAATTATACATGAACAAACTGGATGGACATGTGAGGGAAGGAACTTTGCACTTTTGCTACCAGACTGGAACAACTGGCCAAACTAATTAATGAATGCAAATCGAAAATACTTTGTGAAACTGGACTTCTCCAAGAACCCCCAAGCACAGAAGAGATGGCAACTTCACATATACTAAAGCAACACAGCCCAGACACAGAGACATTTCTAAGGATACATATACTCTACACATGCTCATGCCCCCAGCTAAGGGGCAGCACATTCCCTTTCTTCTGCCAAAGCTCTCACAAATCTCATCAGTTGTAACTTACTTGTCCTGTCCATCTTCTGCCCATCTCCATCCTGTCCAAGCGCTGTAATCCAGCGAGCTCTGTCACTCCTGCAAACAGCAAAGACAAAACTCCATTTCCTAATTCATGCTCTTGATAACTCCCCTTTTCAAGGCTCTGTAAAGCGTAACAAAACCGCTTTTTTCTCCTCTCAAAATACGGCCAGGTGTGACACTGCTACTAGTAATACATTATTCAAGCACATTTAACTATTTTAAGCAGGCTGGAGTATAAAAAAAGCCTGTAAACACATGATATCTTATATACCTTTAGCTATTTTTCCATAATGTAGGTGAACTTCTCCACTAGGATCTGTGACTAATGCTTGTTAAGTAGTATTACTTAGAAAAAAAAATAAAAACCCATCTTATGTACAAAGCACCTGATAAGTGCAATACGGCGATTTTAACACACAACACCAACCAACAGGTTTCCTCTAAGTAAGAACTGTCTATCTGCACTGCGCACTTACAATGTAAGAAGGGGAGCGGGTAGGAAGGGGGAACTGAAGCTTCTCTGTGCTCTCAGGAGGACACACTTATGTTTCCAGATACGTTAGTGTGGGATATCTGAGAGTCAGCACAAATAAGTGAGGACCCAGCAGAGGCCTACATTAGTCATTTGAATCTCACCTTGTATATAACCTAGAAAAAAACATAACCAATCTTTGAGAAGAGCAGAAAGAATTATCTAGGTTCTGCTTACACAATGCACCACAGAGGTGCAAATTACCAACAACCTATCTTGAACACAAGTGGAACAAGCTAAAGTGAACAGCAAAGGAGAAAGCAAGCTTATCTTGAATCACCCCTGTTATTGGCTGAGCTATAACAACTTCATCTTTACAGCTTCAGATTTTGGCAGATCAAAATTTGAGCTCTATTCCCAAAACAAACATTTCAGTGAGAATAGATTTTCACCCCCTGTTTGTTGAGGGGCTTTGCTATCAGTAGAGCTTATAATAACACACGGGAATTGCACGACTGAATTTTCCTATTCTCCATCCCCTTAGGAAGAATTTTTGCTGCCATCTTTGGCTTAAAGAAACACAACTGCTTGCTGCTGAGACCTGGTATTATCAAAAATCTGAAACATCTGAAAATAGAAAATTCTGGCCCTTTAGAAGTGTCACAGAATGGGACATTGTCCTGGGTTCAGCAGTAGCAGTCATTTTTCTCCTTGGTAGCTGGTGCAGTGCTGTGTTTTGACTTTCGGCCTGGGAAGAGAGCTGATAACACTGTTGTTTTGGTTTGGCCAAGGACTTTGTGAGCCTCATGCTCTGCCAGGGAGGAGGGGAAGCCTGGAGGAAGCAGAGACAGGACACCTGACCCAAACTGACCAAAGAGTTACTCCATACCACGGTACGTCATGCCCAGGATGTAACTGGGAGTTACCTGGAAGGGCTGGGAGAGTGCGGGGTTGGAGGAGGTATCGGTCGGTGCTTGGTCGGGCTGGGGGGGGGGCGAGTTATCGCTTGGCTGGTGGTGAGATGTTTTATTCTCTTCCCTTGTTATTTCCTTTATCATTATTATTATTGGAGGTAGCAGTAGTGATCTGTGTTTTGCCTTAGTTACTAAACTGTTTTTGTCTCAACCTGTGGGAGTTCTATTCTTTTTGATTCTCCTCTCCATTCCTCCAGGAGCAGGGGGAGGGGAAGAAGGGGGGGAGTGAGTGAAAAAGCTGTCTGTCTGGGGTTAAACCACGACAGACATTTACACAAATTATTGGGGAATTCTCTACAGCGCATCCTCCAAGATGCACCACTGCTCAGCACCACTACACAACGTTCTGCAGTAAAGTTCATCATTCTCTTTCAGAAACACTGATGCTCTCTCATGGCCTCTTTTCCGGGCACAGACTCAGAAAACTTCCTGGGGATAACAGGATTCAGAATGGAAGTCTTTCTGTGCATGCTTCTTTTGGAAGCTCATTACTTTGAATAGAAAGATTTTGTTTTAATGGCATTTAATAAGAATCTGTGATTATTTTTCTTAAATCCCAATACCCACTCTTCCTCAAAGATGAGTTACTGCCTGGCTCCTACTAACATTTGATACCAGTTGGTCTCATGCCAGTGGCCAAAACTACAGCATATGCTACACTTCAGTCATTAAAGGTAGGTGGTACTAAACTTCTTGTACTGCAACCAGAAAAAGGAAACTCTATAAACAACTTTGCATTAGATTCTTTAACTTTGTGGCTTTTTGTTTGTTTTGCATTTTTTGGGTTGGTGGGGTTTGGTGGTTTTTGTTTGGGTTTTTTTTTTTTCTTCTTTTTATTTGGTTTTTTTTTTGTTTGCTTTCCTAGAAAAAGGTGTTATTTATAATCCTATTTTCCTTCCCTGTAACCAACCATTCTTAACAGGAAAAGTACATTTCCTTTCAGGCAACTCTAAGAAAAAGGCAAAGATACCAGACTGCTTCCCAGTTTAAGTGTATATTTCTTTATAATCTGTGTGTACTGTGTATTTTGCACCTTATTGACTGGGCAATATGAAGTCCTGACCTAATGCAGGTACTTTTGTACTTGGGACCCAAACACCACATGAAGAGACAAGGCATGATCAAACTGCTACAAATATTTCTGTCAGAACATTTTTGTACATTTAAAACTGAACTCTATTCAGTGAACACTCTAAACCATTCAGCTTGGGGTTCCCACTGCAGATTCCCTTCCTGACCTCCTCAAAGCTAAGAGAAAGTTATTTCCTGTACCTTTTGTATACAGGATAATGCTCTATAAAACCAGGTAACTTCCAAACACAGTAATTGTTTTCAGAATCTTTTTCTCTGAATGACAATCTGTTGGACTATTTATATGACAAACAGTATACAGCAAATCAATAATACATCTGCAGAACAAAATTTCTTTTCATAAAAAGCCCAGACAACTAAAAATGTCCTGCATTTTTTCCCAATAAAAATGCATTTCCAAACATGTCTGAATCATCTGCTTACTTTATAATGAGATCTTTAATGGAAATCATTAATGATCTATCGTTTCTTTCAGGGCTATTCTAAACTTTGAAAGCAAACCTAAAACTAAAGTTTTCCAGGCTGGGCTATGTCTGCTTCATGTCTTCCCTCCCGCCTCCAGCTTCCACAAGAACAGATAATATCTTTCACTTTTGTGGAGTGTTGTGTAGAAGTTAATGGCACCACAGCAAGATGACGGCCTCTTGGATATGTGCTCCCGACAGAACAAGACACTTCTTGTTGCTTGTTTCTAAAGCAGAAAACTGTTGTCAGGAGAACAAGGACCACCTCTATCCCAGCACAGCTCCCCAGGGCAACACCAGACTCCTCCCATTTAATCCAGTACTGTTCCACTTCTGCACCATCCAACTGTTACAATAACTAACTCACAAATCACTCCTCCAGGACAAAAGCATTCTGCATTCATACCCTAACATGATTTGCCTGCAACCACCATCATGCCTAAGGATATACCTGTGCCAGTTTCCTCCTGATAGTACTGTGCTCTGTGTACAAACAATACAGTGTAAACACCATACTGCTAAAATAATTGACAATTAAGGTAAGATACTTTAAACCTGTGAGGAACAAACCAGCACATGAAAGCATCAGAGACAGAGCAAACATAAATGAATCGCTGCAGTCTGATTATTCAAGGTCTTCTCACCAAGCCAAGTATCAAGAAAGCTTCCCTGAGTTGCAACAGTAAAAGCAACATTCTCCTTGTAGTAACCCACATTATACCTAGATTCACATGCTCAACTATTCAGCGTGCACAGCAGCACGGTGTGCTACAGGGTGAGATGGGAATCTTGTTGCTGACAGCCTGAAACTCAAGACGGGTTGGGAGGTGAAAAATTACAGAAACGGTAACTATTCACTTACTGACTCTCTGTTCCCAGGAGCATCTCCACCTTCTCTCCCGCATGGTTACTGAGGACCAGTAGTCTGAAGAGGTGAGTTGCAGAAGTCTGCCGTGAGTAGAGCATAGCTGAAGTGTTCTTTACAGGAGAAGAAGTCAAGTCCTCACCGTCACACTGTTGCACCACCAGCTGGTCCCTTAAAGAATAATCTGTGACATTGTAACTCTCCTCACTGCAGAACAAAATAGGGAAGAAAAACCACCACCGATTTAATGTTTCATTTTCCATTAAGTATGTCTTGAAGCAAACTAAGTCACAGAATCCACTTTTAATGACACAGCATGGCACGATTCTTCTGGCACCTCAGATCCTCATCTGTTCTGTTTATTTGTTTTTGAAAGTACCAATTTTCCAAGACACAAGGTAGATCAGTTTTTAAACCCCATAGAATTTAATTTAGCAGCACAGTTAAATGACTTTGGTCTTCCTGAGGGGGAGTGAGCTCGGCTTTACTCCACTGAATTGGAAATCGGGCACAGCAATTACCTAGAAATGCATTTTTACTTCTGTAGCTTCAAACGAACATCAGACCTTAATTTGAGAATTTTACAGGGGGAAAAATAAAAAAGGTTCTGTGTTCCCGTCCCTGTAAAACAACGGATGTGCTCTCTGCTTCCAGATGAACACCACCAAGCTTCACTTTAAATACTTTTACATAATTTTAATGATACTTTTAAAATAATTTAAAAAATGGACAAAGGCTTCTCACGCACTATTGGTCTTGCAAAAACATTGTGCAATTTACCTCTTAGAGAGAGTACTTTGTAAATAACTACACCAACTCTAAGTGATACAGATAAAGACTGCTACATGCACATAGTAACGTTCCAAAGTGACTAGAAAGAATTCTAAGAAATTATTTAAGCTAGTAGCTTTACTTTCCTTAGGGTTGAAATGCAGGTGGAGCAGGGGACAGAACATCAGACATCACAAATCAGAGCATAAAAGTGTTACTGATTTTAACAGGACTTAAATGAAAATACACTGCCTCACAGCAGCCTTTCATTTTCTAAATGCAAGTGTCACCTGAGCTAATCAAAATCATCTTGACAGGTGAAGACCCTGCAGAGACAGGAAGAAGCATATCTGGACAAAGCATGCTGCCCATCTGTCACAGTGCAGTTAATGACACATGCTTCAACTTCAGAATACCCAGGCATCTTCAGAGCTCTGCTGCGAGTTCAAACAGTTCTTGTGCTTATTGGTTTTGCTATTTACTTGTATCAAGGCAATACTGGGAACGTTTTTTTCAAGTGGAAAATAATGGTGTGTTCCCAATTTTTTAAGTTGTGAAATACAGTTTAAAAAAAAAAAAAAAAGAAAGAAAAGAAAAAGAGAACAGTTAAAAGAATCTACATCACTTACTAAAGGAAGAGCAAGTGATCACAAGGAAGGACTGATCACCCAAAAAAGCCTTTTTGCTTCCACTGAAGCAGAATGTTTCCCAGCATTGCCTTACATGCATTTGCAGATTCACCAGAATCTATCATAAACCCAGAACAGTGATAAACTGATTACCTCATAATTTCATCTAAGCTTGTAAACTTCTTCAGATTTATTGTCTTACAGTGGTACCACAAGAAAAGATAGAAAAACCACCCACTTACAGAGGCATCAAGCCAGTTCTCCCTCCTAGCCCATCCTCTTCTGTTTATCAAATTTTGCAGTAAATCAAACAGATCAATCTTTAAGGAGCAACTACATATACTCCACTTTAAAGTCTCGACTGATTAAAAGCTGTGCTAAAGCCTCAGTTTGCTATGGTTCATTGAGAGAATTTAAATGAAAAAATACTTAAGCATGATTAATATTGCTGCCAGAAATCCACACAACCCCAAGCACTGAACTGACACAAATCAAATCCCAAACACCTGGAACTTAAGCCATCTGAAATGTTGATGGTGACATACTCCTTCTGGCAGGTGTAACTGAAGCGTGTTCTTCCTCTATGGTTGGTCAGATAATGTAAGAAAATGGAGAGATGACTACTTAACAGCTGTTGGGATACATGCTCCCCATTTTGTAAGCTGTTGGGAAAATACCTGCCAATACCTTGATAGTTAATGGTCTTTGTAATTCCCGTTTTTCATCCTTCAGAAGAATTGCTAAAACACAACTGAGTAACATTGTAACACTGTGACTCAAAATGTTCAGTTATTGCTGATCCCTGTAACTCGTACAGGATGTGATGAATTTCTCTATTCTTCAAGTGACAACAGGCTTACAGATCATATTGTATTTGTGGATTTTTGTGGATTAATAGGTGCTGTCAGTGCGTCTAGTGTGAAAGTTCTTATTTCAATCACATGGGGTATGCTTTTACTTTTGTTCTGTGAATTAAATACTTGAAATGTGGGTTTCCTGCAGTACAGCTCTGTACATTCTCAAATAACAGAACATGATACTAACAGAACTAATTCTTGCAAATACCTTTTCTTTTGTCAAGCAGCTTGGGGTCTTTATAAAGAAATCAGAAGCAGTGACAGAGAAGCTTAGCAAGATTTACCATACAGCAGCACTGAAATCACTGTAGTACATAAGATAACATTTTTCTTCCCCATTTAATTGTCTCCAAGTCTCAAAATGGGACCAACAATTCCCCACAGTTCACCTGGAATCACAACTCCTGTTCAGGTACAACTGACAAAGGCACAAATATACCACAACTTCCAAAAGTACTGTTGCAAGAACTTCAAATAGATTTCAAACCTCTCCACATAGTTTTGATTAAGCTCACTTTTGATTAGACTGCTGCTTCCGTATTCCTTAGAGTAAAAAGGAAATGAGAGGGAAGGAGCAAACTCTGCCAAAGCTCTGTAAGAAAGAAGCCAGGTTAATTGTGCTTTTACACGACTTCTTGGGTCCCAGAGGAGAAAAAAAAATACAGATCACAGATAGGTTTTGCTTTAATTAAAGCCATTTAACATGAGCACAGTGAGAAGCTGGGAGAAATCTTCAACATATCATTCTGCATATGTAACTAACTCAGGGTTGCTACAAATAATTTTAACTCAGATGTATTCTGTACATCCTTTTCCTTTGGAAAAATGCACACACAGCTCATCCCTGAAACGTAACACTGGGATCATCCTACTGTATAAGTGTGTTTAAGAGTTTGTGAGAGGAGGTTCGTGTTTCACATTCCCCTAAATCCACCTCCAGATTCAAATTCACTCATTTATCTGCAAAAAGATGCTACTTATCCCTTGAAGGCAGTTATTTTGGATGCTATCCACAGTAGCTGAGGGTACCTACTGAAAAAGGAAAAAACATTTTTTTTAAGCTAATATTTATCAGTCTTCCCCTCTTTTTTCTTAAAATATAAACTCTAAACCAGGAAAAGGCTGGCTGGTGTGACTGGAGTGGGGGCTTTTGGGTTTGTTGGGTTTTTTTTGTTTTAAAGAAGTCAGTTCAGTATTCCAGTCTGGGAATCCCTGCCTAGCCAAGATGGAGCTTGCAAAACCAGCAAGGGATGCTCCTATAGTTCTTTGGGAATCTTCCACCTGAAGAAGAGATGCAGTCTACACATTGGCATAACTAGTGAGAAACGCATTCCCTACTAAAAAGTCAACAGAGATAAACCTCTACAAATCCTTCCTCTTCCTTGTCTCCATTCAACAAAACAGTCCAATTTGACACTACCAGGCAGTCCTCACCATTTTTCCTCCTGTGCCCCATGAGGCCCATAAACTCTCCTCTTTCCAAATGGCTAATGAAAGATGCTGACACAGCTGGCAGCACTGATGCATGCAGATGTGTTATGAACAGAACCATGCAGCCAGGCAGCAGAGTAACATGTCCTTTAGAATTACCATCATCAGCTAATATGAATGGGCCCACACCTGTTTTTAGTCTAAGACTGAACTTCTTTGCTAAACTTTTCTTTCAATTCAGAACATGAAGCAACAGGACTATTTTTTACTCCTTTGTAGGGAATGTGTACTCATTTTAGAGGTGCTTTTATGAAGACAAATTATCTATTGCTTTAGTATCATCTGTTCTGGCTGCCCATGCTTTAATAGCAAGCTGAAAGTCCCCTTATCCCCTTTACTCTTTCCAGCTGCCCTACTCTCCATTCCTTGGTCTTCCTCAGAAGTTACTTTGCATTTGTGCTTGCCATTAGTTACAAAATCGCTCCTGCATTTAAACTGAAAACCCTGGATTTGCAAGCAGCCTTGAACCTCGGGGTGAATCCAGTGTATGAAGTCACAGAAACATAGAATAGTTAGGGTTGGAAAGGACCTTAAGATCATCAAGTTCCAACCCCCCTGCCATGGGCAGAGACACCTCGCTCTAAACCATATCACCCAAGGCCTCGAACACTGCCAGGGATGGAGCATTCACAACCTCCCTGGTCAACCCATTCCAGTGCCTCACCACCCTAACAGGAAAGAACTTCCTCCTTGTATCCAATCTAAACTTCCCCTGTTTAAGTTCTAACCCATTACCCCTTGTCCTATCACTACAGTCCCTAATGAAGAGTCCCTCCCCAGCATCCCTATAGGCCCCCTTCAGATACTGGAAGGCTGCTATGAGGTCTCCACGCAGCCTTCTCTTCTCCAGGCTGAACAGCCCCAACTTTCTCAGCCTGTGTTCATACGGGAGGTGCTCCAGTCCCCTGATCATTCTTGTGGCTCTCCTCTGGACTTGTTCCAACAGTTCCATGTCCTTTTTATGTTGAGGACACCAGAACTGCACACAATACTCCAAGTGAGGTCTCATGAGAGCAGACTAAAGGAGCAGGATCACCTCCTTCGACCTGCTGGTCATGCTCCTTTTGATGCAGCCCAGGATATGGTTGGCTTTCTGGGCTGCAAGTGCAGACTGAAGCTGGCTCATGTTCATTTTCTCATCAACCAACACCCCCAAGTCCTTCTCCGCAGGGCTGCTCTGAATCTCTTCTCTGCCCAGCCTGTAGCTGTGCCTGGGATTGCTCTGACCCAGGTGTAGGACCTTGCACTTGGCATGGTTAAACTTCATGAGGTTGGCATCAGCCCACCTCACAAGCGTGTCAAGGTCCCTCTGGATGGCATTCCTTCCCTCCAGCGTATCAACCGAACCACACAGCTTGGTGTCATCGGCAAACTTGCTGAGGGCGCACTCAATCCCACTGTCCATGTCAGCGATGAAGATGTTAAACAAGACTGGTCCCAACACCGATCCCTGAGGGACACCACTCGTTACAGGTCTCCAGCCGGACATTGAGCCATTGACCACAACTCTCTGTGTGCGGCCATCCATCCAGTTCTTTATCCACCGAGTGGTCCATTCATCAAATTGATGTCTCTCCAATTTAGAGACAAGGAAGTCGTGTGGGACAGTGTTGAACGCTTCACACAAATCCAGGTAGATGACATCAGCTGCTCTACCCCTGTCCATCAGTTCTGTAGCCCCATCATAGAAGGCCACTGAATTGGTCAGGCAGGATTTCCCCTTAGTGAAGCCATGCGGGCTGTCACCAAGCACCTTGTTTTTCATGTGCCTTAGCATGCCTTCCAGGAGAATCTGCTCCAAGATTTTGCCAGGCACAGAGGTGAGACTGACTGGTCTGTAGCTCCCCGGGTCATCCATTTTCCCCTTCTTGAAGATGGGGGTTATATTTCCCTTTTTCCAGTCGTCAGGAACTTCACCTGACTGCCATGATTTTTCAAATATGATGGCCAGTGGCTTAGCAACTTCATCTGCCAGCTCCTTCAGGACCCATGGATGGATTTCATCAGGGTCGATGGGCTTGTGCACATTCAGATTTTTAAGATAGTGTCGAACCAGTGCTATTGAGGCACCTCCAGAGCTTATAAGACAGAGCCATTAAGACAGACAGGATTCTAGTGGTAGGGGATTCCTTAGGGGATTACTGAGAACAGAGTATTCCATGAATGTATACTCATTAAAAAATATAAGCCCCTCTGAAGCTCACCTGAAATTTTCCAAAAGCATACAGGGTCTAACTAACTGGTGCATCTTCTGACTAGCTGCGGCAGCTTGAAAGAACAATTCTAAAAGATTAATTACTCCTTGTGTCAGAATACTACCTTCAAAATCCAATGTCAGCATAAGCTATTGGTTTTCTGGTCCCTGTAGTGACTATTGTGGCCAAAATGGTGGCAATTCACAGTACAGCAAGGGGATAAATAGAGAACAGAAATCAAAGGTTGGACCAGATGATCCTTGAGGTCCCTTCCAACCTGGTATTCCGTGGTTCTATGATTGGTAAAACACTACCACAAAGCTGAAAGAACAATAGGTGAAATATTTAGGTTACTCAAAGTCAGTCTACACTTGGGTCTTTGCAGAGTATTCACAACATTTATCTTTCCAAATTTCTCCATTTAATTTCCCAGAGTTACCTGAAGAGTCAGAGAACGAAAGACACTGTTCTGGAGGGCAATCTGGACAAGCTGAATTAGACTTCCAACTCAGAACCGCTCTTCAAAGGGACCTGCCTTCTCCACTGACTACACAGGCAACTCTGAAGTGTATACTGAGTGCTCCAAACATCACCTGGCTCTTTGCTTCATGCCATAATTCGGACAACATCTGTGTTCACGTGTAAGAATTAACTGGTACCTTCCTGTGCACCAACCATACAAAAGCTGTCCCTTCCACCTAGAAGTGGACATCCTGACACATGCTAGCACTGACTGCTCTTATCAAGGTAATGCATCAAAATTTTAAGGTCCCTTCAACTCAACCCCTTCTACAATTTTGTGAGCTCAGGAGCATGCCTTGAGGATACACCACCACAAGACCTCTCTATCTTTTTTTACAGCTAAAATGTAACAGTACTCATTATTGAACAGGTTTCTGGGCCCATTGCTTACTCAGTGTTAAAAGATGCAGTTCTTCCAATAATGAGTCTGACACCTGGCAAGTGTCCCTGAAGCACAGAAGGGAGCGGTGACATATGCCCTACCTGGCTGGAGCAGAGTTACTCCACAGTTACCCACATGACATCTCTGGCAGGTCCCACCAAGCCTAGCCCTTGAGAAGTTAGGACCGAACCGCTGCTGGCTGCCTGTGTGAGGTCCTACATATATGGGAAACTGCTCAGAGGGGATGGCTGGAGCTGAACTCTGGGGTGACGGTGCACAGCACAACTGGGGCACTAAGCAATTAGTATTTTTAGCACAGTAACAAGGAGGGATTTTTATCTTTTTTTTTTTTTTAACAATGTCAAGAACCTTCTGAAACACAACTGCTCAAGGGAAACACAAACATTTAAACTCAACCAGCAACAAGTATTTCTGTCCATTGCTGTGGCATCCATGGTAACCCTGGGGGTGGAAAAACATATCACCCAGAACTCAATTACTATTAATAAGCTGATTCACTCAGGCAAAGCACATGCTTCATGCTCAGAATATCTGGGAGGCTCACAGGAATTAGTGCCTTGCAATTGCATCTGTTTGTTTAGGTGGTCTTGAAAGAGTGACTGTGAACCTGATCATCCACATGAAGCGTTCTTCTAATTTTGACCTCTGGGCCCCTTTAGGACATTTCAATTCCAACAGCTCGCAGCTGTCATAAATCCCAAGTCCCCAGTTTTGGATATGTTGTTATAAAAATCTGGTTTATAATCTGGATACCAGGCTATCACATAGGAAACCAATAAACAATGTAACAACACAGATAATAGATGTGTCACTGTTTTCCCAACTCCAGCATTTACTTAGCTACCAGCACACTAATACGCTAACAGCAGTCCCATAAGAGAAGAAACATACTGTTCAAAGAAGTGCGATCCAGCTCTGATGTGCTGCCAGGGATTGAACAAGGGACTTTCACAGAAGCATTTCAGCATAAACTTTGATAAACACTGAATCTCAGAAACATTCACATCACTAAGATAGCTGGGGAGAAATCTATTCACTTGCCTTCCCATCTTTATTAAAAAAAACCAAAAATCTTCACTTAATATTTTTCTCCTCCGTTCTCATTCAGTTTTCTTCAGTATTAGCATTTTCTTCACAGATTTTATACCGTATCTCATTCCTCAAAATTTATTTAAATAATGGATTTGAAGGTTGTCTTTTAAAAAGAGCTAGTATTTGGCTTAACTGGCCAACCCAGAGAAAAAAAAAAACCCAACAATTGTTTTCAAACAGTTTTTATTCCCAGAATAAGGTTTATCTATCAAGTAGTATCTAATAGCAACAGCAGAGGATGTACATTCTGTTCAATTCATCTAAACCTCTCATCAAATCTGGTGGTAAAATGGAGACTGCTAGAGCTGTCCCCTACACATCACTCTGCAAAGCAGCCCAACTGTGGAAAGCATGGAAGGGAATAAACATTACCTCTTTATCCTTCCCAAACTTCTCCCTTTGCTAAGGCACCAAGGATGAACTCTTCAAATTAGTTTGACAATTTGGAGTTTTGGCAGTGTTTGCTGAAAATAAATCCTTTTTAGTAGTTACTTGTCATTGCTAAACACGTGCTATGAGAAGTCAGGAAGCTTCCATGTTCCTTTCCCCTGAGGTGAAGCACATGCAACAGTCACAGTAACTTTAAAAGACAACTCTAACTTGGCTGTTCTCTCTGTCACTTCAAGGAATTGAACACAAAGGCAGTGTTATGCTGGTGACACTCTTACCTCTTCTTCTTGGTGATAATGAGGACATCATTAAAGAGGAAGAAGTACACCTGCTGCTTAGAAGTTCTCTTAGAAAAAAGTCCAGTGTCTTCCACATACGCTGTTAATTCGCCTCTTTTCACTAACCAGCGTGAAGAGGAAACCAGTGGAAATGGCTACAAAGCAAGAAAATAACATTTTAATACTTCAAAAGTAGAGGTTTAAAACCAATCAGATAACAGTATTATGTATTTTGGGGAAAACCAACATGCTTAAATTCAACAGGTTATCAAGACTTAAAGTGTCTTTGTCCTTCCTACAATACACAAGTAGTAGCATGCAAATACTTGAAAATCATTCATGCACATGGTATAATTGCCCATCTAAGGGAAGAATGAACAGACTTGATTGCTTCCGCTGGGATGGAACAGACCGTGTGAGATCTCCTAAGGAGATTAAAGAGACCATCCTCCAGGAATACACGAGGTTTTGTAGAATGCGTGAAGCAATCATTCTTCAAGCACATATGAACTTTGAATTTTCCTCTAGGTACCTCACAGCTTTTCTGTCTACACAGCTGGGAAAAAGAGCTCCAGCTTCAAACTCAAACCCGAGGGCTATGGCACACCAAGCTCTGTCACTTCCCTGAGGCCAGCAGGTACGACACTGTGCCTCATTCTGATCGTGTGTTCTGTGCCACACACAGAGTGAAAAATGTAAAATCCTTTAACAGAGAAATACACTACACAACCTACTGTGAAGTGTTCTGTAAGCACGTTAAACAGACATAAGCAGATTAGGAAGACAGCACACAAGATTAGACTGGTCCCAGTACAGCACTGAACATTAAGATGTTCAGAGTATGTAGACTTCATTGCCATTAAAATGTAAGGTGAGGAATGCAGAAGGCTTAGCAATCATGTGGTAGCATCCATTTTCTACTCTGTAAGTAAACTGAAGTTTCAACACAGCTCTGAAAAAAATGCGTAAAGCAGTACGTGTTACATAGGGTTTGAACTAGCTGTCCATTTTAATGCCAAACCAGTAATAACATCATAAAGCTCATGACATCATAAACTGACATCTTAAATCATAATAACATCATAAGCTCATGACATCATAAATTCACCTGTTCTTTGAAAGACACATCTGAAAGTCTTCAAATGACATCTCTTCATTTGTTTGCTTACAGAACACCACATTAGCAAACAACTGTCCTCCTTCAGGATCACCTTTGGCTTTTTCCCCATCTTCCACTTGGCCAGAAAACAGTGACTGCTACACTCAACCACAATTGCACTGTTATTTGCTACACAGCCAGTCAGACAGCTCCAGGCATGCCACTACAGTGGGGTCTGAGCTTGTTAGAGCATCCTCTCAGACCAGGCATGACAACTCTGTGTCACTGGCTCCCAGAAAAGTCAGTCAGTTCACCCCTCAATTTATAAGGTTTGAGCAGAATCATTCTTCTGAGGTATTACCACACCAAAGCTCCCACATTATTCCCCTTAATAGCAGGAAGGGAGGTTCTCCACATACTTGCCGTCCTCACTAGTAGCTCCTGAAACATCATAAAATTACCAGAGCACTGTCCTAGCTTCACCTAAGATGCTTCCCTCCTCCCCCCCTTTTAAAGCACCTTTCATGTGCTTGTAAAAAAGTATTTCTTCATTCAGTTTGTCAGCTGTCATCTTCATTTCTGCATGAGTTGCCTTTTTAAATCTTTTAATCACTTTAGCTGCCTTTTACTGAGCTAACTCCAGCTTGCCAGCACTTGCCCCACGGTACCATGCCAAAACCAAGACGGTGCTCTGACTGCGATCTTACTGTTGGCAGAGCAGACATTTTCCATGCAACCACCCCTTGGTTTTGAGTGTCTAGGTACAATTTTACACTGGCTTTTCCGAAGATGTTTTCCCTGTCCCCACGCAGCACCGCGGAACTCCCACCCCCCTGCCTTCCCTTAACAGGCAGCATGCCAACAGCAGGTGAAGGCTGCTCAAAAGCAAAGTGCAGCTGCACACTGGAGCTGTTGCAAACTGCTGCCCATTAAAGAAGCATTCCACATTTTACCTTGCCCTAGACTGATTCCTGACCCAGTGCACCCAAAACAGGCAGTAACCAACATCCTGCCCTCACCTGGTACCTGAACACAAGACTTCCCCTAGCACAAAGGTGACCTCCGCTACGCTGTAGACCCATGTGAGGGACCCTTCAAAGCCCAAATACTTCCCAAGTGGCTACTAATAAATACCAACATGTTTTTTATCTGCTGCAATTCCTGGTGAGTTTGCATTCATGCAACTAAGACATCATCAGTGTATTGAATCTTGATGAAATTCCCTTTGGATGTTTCTTCCCAATTAACGCAAGCTCACGTATTCTGTTTTGATGTATTTAATTTTTGCAGGTTTTGAGGTTTGTACTACCCATTAGTTTATTAAATGCATTTTCTACTGTATTCTCTCACTTGGAAATGCTGAATTTTGTTTCAAATCCCTATTTCATAACAAGGTTTTTTTGCCCAAGTCTGTTAGTGAATCAGAGTGAATCAGTTTGGCTTGGTGTAACTTTAAGTTCATTAACTGTCACTCATCCTGGATCAGCCACTAACTTGGGCTTTCTGCCAATACCACTTTATTGCTTTCTCCTAGGTTTGTATCAGGTCATTTTTACCATGGCTGGTCACATTATTAAAGGGTCATTGTTAAACCTCACAGGTTACGACAGGACAGTTCAGCTTGGTGCTCAGACACAACACCCCAGAAGAACTCCTAAGCCCCATCACTGGAATCACACACTGAAAACACAGATCTGTATCAACATTCAGCTTTAAAAAGTATGGCATATTTTCAGTCAAAACTCTGCTGGTTCAGTCCCTTCAAGTTCAGAAACATGAAGAAAGTTTTTGAACAAATGGCCTTTATGTTTCTGGAAATGCAGTAGTGGCTCCAGGTGTGGATAGAAGAGTGGGGAACATCAGCCCATGTCCCAGCCATCACACCATCACACTTGTAGTGACTTCACAAAACAGGACTCTGGGCTGGATGGTCCCTGAACACTGAAGTCACACCCATTTGTTTCATGAACAGTAAAATAACACATTTGCAGAAAAAAAACCACAACAAACCCACAACCTTTTGGTGCTAAAGGTGAAAGATTTAAAAATTAAAAACTTTGGCATCTGAATTAAAAATTAAATTCTACAGATAAGCCATGTACAAAAGTGACATCCGAGTAGCTCCTCTTCTACTCCTGTGAAACACACTTCAGTTACATCTAACATAACAATAAACAAAAATCCCCAAGCCCTCTATGAGGTCTCACAAGAACAGACATAGCTGATCTAATTTACAATGGCTATAAACCAGCATTATAGCACCATGACGACTCTTTTACAAAGTACTTAAAAGATTCCTATTTGAGGACAAGCTGAATTCCTCTAATCTGTACTCTAAGCGAGTACATCACATTTTCCTAATTGACTCTATTTGAGAGGCAGCTTGTTTTTACTTTAATATTAATTTTTCCTTAATTGCCAAGAGTACATCGTGTCAACCATCTCCTTTCTATATAAAACAAGCTGTCAGAACTTAAAAATGTGCTGAAATGCAGCCAAAGCAGTCTTTTATATGCCAGCTGGCAAGTTCTCAAACCACATATAAGGTCTGAACCACTAAGTGCACATTTAAGATGCACAAATTAAAAAGTGCATTAAAAACCACAGAAAACAACATACATGAAGCTGTTTCACTGCCATGAAGCTGGTGAGGGCTGCAAGTGACCACACACACAGGGATGAGTCACATGGAGCCTCTTGCTCCTGTGAGGTTGGGATCCCCATTCAGGCCCTGCTGGGCACTTCAGCAGATTCAAAATGCACAAATGAAACCACTGAGCAGGTCACCCAAGGGTGTCAGGCTCCCCAAACTCCTGTCAGACCAACTATGACCATGGCTGCTCTTTGCTACTACCAAAAAAATTATTGTAGAGGATTTCTTTTTTTAATAAAAGCCTAGATTTTATTTTCAATACTAGAAAAATACTGGAATCTCTCAGCCTCCTAAGATACTTGACAGTTATCTGAGGGTTATCTGAGCATACCTGTAAAGCAAGACAAAACCTTGGCATTATCACAGTGAACTGTATTAATACAGGTGTAGTTTAGCTTAACCAATTTCACCCCATGGAAGCTGCCTGCTATTTCAGGTGGGCATCACACTGTTTCGGTACTGGCAGCTGCTGCTGGCCCCCCATATGCTGTCACAGGCAAAGGTGGGTGACTCTTGCCTGCAGGCATGACCTCCAAGCAGGGTGCTGGGCTCTCCCTACAGCAGCTCCTGAGTGCTGTGCAGCACCCCAATGCTACCCTCCCCTCAGGCAGCTCACACAAAAAGCATGGAGCCTCAGACAGGCAGTTTTCACAACAGGCTATCAGAATGTTGTAGAAACAGACCAGGATTCCAAGCAACATGTCCTGAGCTGACCAGAAATGGACATGGGTTTTTATTTCATTCTGCTGTGAATCCAGATAGTCAAACACAATTAGGATTCCTCCTGGTGTGAAAGTACTCACTTAGGCATACTGTTCCTATCACATATAAGACCATCTCCACACCAATCAGCAGCAGCTGGCCTCTCTCCCAACAGCAACATCTTCATAGCAACTTATCTTCACAGCAAAGAATACTTAATTCAATATACATATAAAAAAGATTTTGCTGTAACATAATCATTCTACTTGAAAATACCTGACAAAAGGTTTAACTTTTATCCTGCCATAACAGATCATTTCTTTGCAACAATTACTGTGTAACAGAGGCTATTAAAGTTCCACTGTTAGCTGTATCAATTACAAACACTGCTGTACCCTTTAGAGACAGACACAATTTGTTCTTCACCCACAGCCAGGAATCTAAGCAAAACCTTAAAAATATCTACAGCTATATTTATGTATTTAGAGCTTACAGAAAAGTCAATTCAGATATTATAAACTTACCAGAACATCTCAACACACTGCTAGAGCATGTGCCAAAATGAGAAGCCAAACTGCTTCACGATTCAATAGCTCCCCCAAAACAATTCTTTCATTCCTCCAACAAGCTCCCACTCTCAAGAGACTTCAGCAACTACTCAGTTAAGCAGACACATTTTTCAATGGCCTCCATTTGCAGTGGAGAGCTGCAACAATTCCTGCCCACATCAGAAATGATGCTGTGCAGTCTTCTGGATTTGTTTTATGTGAGGAGGGAAGAGAGAGACAAAAGAGCAATTCAAAGTACAACAGGCCCTACTTACTCTCAATTTCCAGAGCTTCACCTGCTCCAGAATCTAAACTTGGTTCCTTGGCTGAACAGTCATGTCAGTATAACAGCCTGCACTAATTACTTTTTTATGCTGGCAATGATCCTATTAACATGCTATTCATGTGCTACATGACTTATGGTGACAAATATAATCATTGTACCTTGATTTTAAATTCCAGCTGGGAGTTAATTGTGTACATCATTTCTGTCCTTTCCATTTTTCGAGCACCTTCATTGCACAAACGCACCAGCTAAGAAAAAGAGACATTTATTTAACAGGCTTCATGTACTCAAGATCGGTAATACAAACTTCTGTAGATTTATAAAGTACATTTCTGGGGGAGCATAAAATTGACACAGGAATGAGATTTTCATGCTAGGTCACAGCCATAATGTTTCCAGGACCAGACTGAACGCAGCCCTGAGTGACCAGGTCTGACTTCATGGCAATTCTTGCTTTGAGGCTGCATGACCCAAGGTCCCCCTCAACCTGCATTATCCAATACTGCTACAAGAATTATTTATTCTTCAGGGGCATCCATATGGTGCAAAGGTTCAGCTCAAAGTTCTGATGGAGAATGGCCACAGCTCTGCCCAAGTTAATGTTCAGCTCCAAAACAAACAACCTTCAGACTGGCACAGAAGGACAACATGCTGCCATGTCCACCACACACATTTGGCAGCCCCAACACAGGCATTGTGCTACCAGTTTGTTAAGCTAAAGCAAACGGTACCCCAGAAAAGCTTTCACTACAGCAGACCTTCAGAGTCTGCAGTCTTACAGCAGGCTACAGTTCCCCTGAAGTCTGCACATGGGGTTGGGAAGCAGGTAAAAACAGGGGGCAAAGATGGAAGTGCACAAAAATGCATTCCCTATAACCCCACATCATCACACATGGACTTCCCAACCACCAATTGGCCTCTTCCCCTTCTATAACCTGGCACTTCACACACTGTACACTGTTTCTGCAGGAAAACCCAGCTGTGGTGGCAGCAGCACAATGCTGCTGGGTTTAGAGAATAATAACTTCTTAAGTAATAACCAAAGAGTAATTTAGGCCTAAAACCGATCCCTAGTGACCTTTCTTAAATAAAACAATTCAGCAGTTTTATGCTTCAGTGCTCTTCCCCTTTGCATTATTTATGCATGGAAATCATCCATTTTCCCTTAAAGTAGGTAAGGATGTTCTAGGCCCAAGGTAATGTCTAGCCAGAACGTGCTACATTTTTCTTTGCTTTACTAAAGCACAGCAGGCACTTCCCATTCACAGCAATCCCTGATGCACTGCACTTTCCAAAATTCTGAGATCCTGGTGGCAAAAAATAACCAGTTCTTAGATCCTCAGGTTTCCTTTTCACGCCACTGTGTTTTGGTTTTAGGAGCTGACAATTTCCAGAGTATATTAACTGGATAGGTTGGAATTACCCACCAATTAAAAAGGGTAATCTGATTTCTCAGGTCCAAATGGAAGGAAGTGGAATTTATTCTACAAGGGCTGTTGAAATTTACAGTCTGTGCATGGAAAATGGACTTGGGTTCCTCTTCGCAACCACTGATTCTTGGCAAAAAAGTGTGACTCCAGGAGAGAGAACAACTTTGGACCACTGATAGGAGGTGATCTGGTTAATTTACAATAAAAGCAGACAGAATTTGGAATCTTCCAGGGAAACTTAAGCCTTTCTTTTCTCTACTGTCAGGACAGGGCTTGGGCTTTTTTTGGTATGTCTGGTCCTGCCACACAGCTTTCTTTCATCAGGAGTGGCAGCAAACTGAACAAGTGTGCCCAACTACATAATGAAACAGGTGAACAAGATGAGTAATAACATGGTAATTAATTATCAGGTGACTAAAATAACCCAGACCCAGCCACCTCTCAGTGGGCTTCCAAAATGACAGAAGTATGCAGCGTGATTTCAGAAGAACAGTCAAAGCAGAAAAGCTTCTGCATCCAGATTAAACTGAAGAATTTACCTTGCTCACTTCTTTCAGAGCCTGCTTGCAGTTCTCATATTTTGATGAATCCTTGGGAGTCTTCTGACAAATGGTCTGAAATAAAATGTCAGTGACTTCAGAGGACTAGGAAGCACAGGCTGTGACAAACACAGAATTGCACATACATGTTAACTGAAATCAGAGGTGAAGTCACAGCTGTGACAGATCAATGACAGAACACTGGATCACTTCCTCAAGAGCGCTTTGTCACACCAACAGAACACCTCTTCTGAAAGCTTTTGGAGCCACACAGTGTTTTGCATCTTGTAGCCCATCTCCACAACAGCAGTACAGTGGAAGAACGAGGCTTCACCCTCACAGGACAGGGGAAGCTTCACCAACTTATCTCCAACTTCTGTCAACCCACAACAAATCCCACTACAGCCATACAGAACTGGGTTCTTCCTGTTCTGGGGTTAAGCTTTTCCTGGAAGTTGAAATACCCAGTTACTTACAACTGCACTTCCAGTAAGAAAACTGTACCAGCTTACTCTGTCTGACCTCTCCATGGAAGGTATTTCCAAAAGATTAACAGAAGAAAAGGCTCTTCAGGCTACACTGGTACAGGAACGAGGAAAAATATACACATCAGTATTATCTTATTAGAACAAAAAAAGCACATGGAAGGGAGCACAGCTGCAGTATCCAAGCAGAGGAAGCTCTGGAAAGCAATGAGAAGTAAATCCAATCCATGATTTACATGAGTTACATCTATTTGCAAAGCTCATTCTTACCAGTTAGAGATGAAGCCCCACCAGAAATAGGCAATCAATGACAGACCAGATAAATTAGTTTTTTACTGAGAAACAAAAACATTTTATGGTATTACTTTAAATTAGTCTTTAGTTTAAGTATGTTCTCTCCTCTGAATGTAGTTGGAGCCACAGTTCTGATACTGAAGCCTTAAAAATCATTCACTGGAAGTCTCAATGCAAGGTTTACACAACAATATCCAAGAAAAACGAGCAAATGAAACAAACTGGAACAGTGGAAAATAAAATGCTTGGTTTGCTTGTTTAGATGCTTTTAGCTCAAGAGGGTGAAGAGGGAAAAAAAACAAGAAAGAGAAGGCCCACCTAGGGACACACCACAGTAACACTGGGTTATGATGCCATTTTTTATCTAGAAATGTACTGCAGAGAAGAAAGCACTCAATGTCCAGGAATGAACTACAGTACTGTCCAGATGATCAATTAATCAATGCATAGTTTGCTAATATGTAGCAGAACAAAATTAGTTGTCCTGTTTGTGGATCTCTCCAATGCCAGAACCAGAGCCTGGATTTTTATCTGCACTACTGCTGATGTCCAACTCATAAATTTAGTTCTAGCATTTTATCAGAAATGCCACAAATCTTGGTGTGAACTTTAGAAACACAGAACAGTTAGGGTTGGAAAGGACCTTAAGATCATTTAGTTGCAACCCCCCTGCCATGGGCAGGGGCACCTCACACTAAATCAGTATCACCCAAGGCTTTGTTCAACCTGGCCTTGAACACCAGGGGTGGAGCATTCACAACCTCCCTGAGCAACACATTCCAGTGCCTCACCACCTAACAGGAAAGAATTTCTTCCTTATATCCAATCTAAACTTCCCCTGTTTAAGTTTTAACCCATTACCCCTTGTCCTGTCACTGCAGTCCCTAATGAAGAGTCCTTTCCCAGCATCCTTATAGGCCCCTTTCAGATACTGGAAGGCTGCTATGAGGTCTCCACGCAGCCTTCTCTTCTCCAGGCTGAACAGTCACAATTTTCTCAGCCTATCTTCATATGGGAGGTGCTCCAGTCCCGTGATCATCCTGGTGGCCCTCCTCTGGACTTGTTCCAACAGTTCCATGTCCTTTTTACGTTGAGGACACCAGAACTGTACACAGTACTCCAAGTGAGGCCTGATGAGAGCTTTGCTTCAGAAGTACTCACTTGCACTTCCTAAGTCACCTAGTAACCTGCACAGGAAGGGAATGCCCACAGTGTAACACAGTGGTGAGAAACAGAGTGTGTGTTGATGCTGTTCCACCTATGAACAGCTCCTGTGCACTCAAGTACAGAGCTCATTCTTCAGGGCTACACTGTGACCCTCTTCCTGAAAGTATTTACTGCAGAAGGGTCCTTACCTAATCTGTACAATGGAAACTCTTGTTTTCTAAACTGTAGGGTTTGATTTTAGTCCTAACACTATAGACAGTTGCTGTGTTGGGTTCCTCTCCTTGGGTTCAGATTAATTTTGACCATTTACTGTACAATTTTTCTATTAGAATGTCTAAATATTTAACTTTAGAAAGGGGCATCAAGAGCAGAAGGTACTAATCACAGCAACCAAACAAATGCAACAGTAATTCATAACCAGTAGACCAGTATCTACAGCCTGTACCTGGTAGAAGTAAGAAGATATGAAGAGACTGGAATGACCTAGGAACTGAATATGCAAGAAGGCTAACATTAACAGAACATGCATCAAGGACAAATAGAAAAATAACTGTTCTCACATCCATCAGTAAGGGAAGACGAGTAACTCTCTGCATGGGAAGAATGAGGAAAGAGATCATTGGTAAATTCCGGCAGTCTTCATGGGACTCAATCCGTGATAACACTTCTTTAAAGGCTGGATTTGTGGCTCTAGTGAAAAAAAGTGGGGACAGAATTAAGTGGTAAGTTTTACTAAAGAATTGTGAAAGTTGCTAGATTTTAAATAAATCATGATTTTATTAATAGGAAAGTGTGCTGTGAAGGAGTCATCTCAATAAAGCCTTCAGCTTTATTTACTTAGCTACGCTAGACCAGGATTGACATTTGGAAACTTCAGCTGCTCCTACACATGAACAGACTCACACGTAATGGACAAGAAGAATGTGTCTTTGACACTGACTAAACCACACGTATCAGTGGCCAGGGAATGGAGTACAGGACCACAATCAGGACTGGCCCTTGAAGCCACACACAGCTCAATAACTTTAAAGGAACTTGCACATTAAGAAAGAACTAGGCAGGTAAGCACATGCTTAGCTGGAAGCCAGGTTTTGCACGAAATACCACAGCCTACTACTCACTCCTACTAGAAACGAGGCAATTTTACAACCATATTTTAAAATTAGCTCTTACAGTAATCTCTGCAGTGTTCGCTGCTGATAGACTTCATTGGTGCAGTATTTGACATAAGGATCAAATGTTGAAGAAGAATGCTTTTCAACTATATCACTGATATCATCAATAAAGATGTTGTTCTGATGCCTTGCTTCAAGTTCTGTAAAGAACCTGTGGAAAAGAAAAAAAAAATTACTCATTTTTTACAAAAAACAAACAAAACCAGAAACAAAACAATTTGCACCTGACCCAATCCATGACTTCTATAAACCAATGGCAACTTTAATGGTTCATGAAAGACTTGAGACCATTTCTTCCTTGGCAGACCAGCAAAAGAAACCTTTACATGACAAAGGCCAAAGGGTGGCAGTGTCACCTGGCGGAGCTCCGTGTAAGCAATGACAGCAAAACTACTTTCCATTCTCCAGCTGCCAAAACCAGAACAGCGTTACTGAGCTGGTTGGACGAGAATTTCCAGAAACAGGGGTGAAAAAGAAACCAAACAATTCCAAGCACACATTAACACATTTCCTCTTGCAATAAAGGAAGTGCAATACCAGAAATGTTCAATGAAATAAAGTTAGGTGTGACTCCTAAACAGAGAACACAAAAGTACTCAGCAGGCTGAGCTGCACAATGTGCTTGTATACCATATACCTTAATCCACTTCTTAAACCACAGACTGGAAACAGTGAAAATGGGAACATAAACCAAAAGCCTGATGGATGTTTTCTCCTAAACACAATTGTTCTATGAACTTCCTCATTGGTCATCCTCTGTTCTGCTTGTGAGTCCCTTTGGCCTCTGAAAGCTTTCCACTCCTCTCTGCATTTCTAATTTCACCAGAAACCAAAAGCCTCTATTTCTGCAATAGTCATTAGAAATATCTTACTGTCTGGAGTGTGAGCGCTCTCATGGCTCAGCTACTGCAGATCATTAGTTACCTACAATGACATTCCGACATCAGTGCAACCCTCAGAAATGCAAAAGCTGCTGAAATCTCTCCCATCCTGGGGCTGCCGTTCCATAGGGTGATTCACTTGAATCCTGAACTCCCTAGAGCAAACCAGCTAATGAAAAACTTCTCACACAGCACAGAAAAATTAAGGAAATACTTGGTACACCTGATCTCACATCAAGCTAAAAGAGTTTGAAACATTTTATTTCAGCCTTTTTTTACATTTTCCAATTACTAACACTGGTTCTTCAAAACCTATCACCCTGCAGCACTGCATTTTTCTGAACATGCCACCAACGTTCTCCATAGGCTGTTTTACAAACAAACCTCAAACATGTAAGAAGAGCAGAGCAGGATGAACAAGAGCTTGTCATGCAAGTGTTTAACAACATGGGTTTGCTAAAATTAAGCCTTTTTCAGGTGGACTTAGAAGAACCAGCCTGAACCAAGTGGTTGCCAGATTCTTACTTGGTCAACTGCAGTCAGAAGAATCAAGGCGGGATTTTTGTTTGGCTGGTTTTGTGTTTTAAAGTTCCAACACATTAACTGCAGACTGAACTGACGCATGTGTATCAGTATTATCATCTGATGAAAAACAAGACACTGAATACAAACAGATACACTGCTGCCTGCTGCAGTGCGCTGCTTTCTCCTCAGTTTTCTCCATGAAGTGATGCAGCAGGGTTTTTTTTCACAGCCTTGCTGTGTTTGGAAGGCAGAATCCTCCAGCACCCTCCTGCCCTCCACCCATCTCATTTCAAAGCACAAAACATTTCCAGTTGTCGCTCTCTTGTTTATGTTACATATTTGGTTTTCTTAGCGTCAGACCAGTACTAACTGGCAATGCACACTAAGTTGCTGTGAGATCTCATACAATACATAGCCAGCCACTAAAGTTAACAGTTGTGTGAAATGTCATGGGGTACAAGAAGGGGAAAAATAAAATAAAATGATAAAAATGAGTCTCCAAGTCAGAGCCTACACTTTCCCATGAACCCCAACAGTGAGATTACAACCACTGACCACCATGAACCGCAGACAACTGGAACTTGTTTCTACTCTACTCAGACATGTTTATAGTTGAGAGAACTGCTCAGTGCACTGCCAATTCACTTTGCTCAGGAAATGAGGAAATACAACATTTCTTCCTGCTGTATGTTATGGCACGCTGACAAGGTGTTTTGCCATGCTGGGCTAGGACTTCCACTTTCAGAATTTATCTGGTACTTCATCAATGACACCCTCAGGCAGAGTCACTGTAAAGAGCAGTAAAAGTCTTCCACAGAAGAAGATTTAAAAAAAAAAAAAAAAGAAAGGAAAAAAGGAGGGGGCAGCAGCACACCCAAACCCCAACCCCACAACACATACTGCAAGAAATACTACCTCTGGAAATCATGTATCAAAAGTTTGAGTCGAAGTTTGAGGGGGAGTTGCATCCAATCTGCTAATTATATACACAATCAGTGAACCAGAAGCATCATAAAATCCTTTTACTTAAAGTTTCAGGACAGGTTCTGTCATAATGAGCAGTACTGAGGATCAAGTGATCATATTCGATTTAACCAAATATGAATTAGTTGCACTGTGTGACTGGCCTTTTTTACTTTTTTTTTCTTAATACCAGAAGGATTTATTTAAAGCATTTATGTTAAATCTGGAACTTTTCTGGTTAAAATCAGGTCCAACTAAGTAAAAGTCAAACAGCACTGTAAGACAACATTTGATTTGCCTCATCTTGTCCTTAGGTGGTTTAAAAGAGACATCCAATTTGTAACACTCCAAACTCCCCCCCTTCCAAAGGCTACGTGCCAAACTGAGAAATACAGGTTTAGTTCATTTCCTGTTTGTTTTCTTTTATAGCAATATCGAGAAACACCAGAGATCTCGGCAATACTGGAGTTTGCCCTGTCTTTACGACAACAGCTTCCTCCCTAAAGCTCTGGTGGCTCCTCTAAAGGGTCTTCCCACGACTTTAGGCAGATCACTGGCACACTGGTAAGTAGCAGAATAACTTGCCAGTACTCTCAGGCAATTTTCTTAAGCTGTTTTTTCCTACTCACTGGCATTGTTGTAATTAATTACTGGAATCCATAACTTTATCAAAAACCTCTAGTTAATTCACAAAACATAAATTCACATTGGTACATGCATGATGTTATAAACTATTCCATACAAATCGCCTTCTTAAGGCCTGAATAATGTCTCATTTACAACTGCAAAACTCCCACCAATAGAGCTCTACTTAAACAGATGCCATGAACCATTTTGTTCAACATTTCTTCTCAACATTTACTCTCTCTTCACCCCTAGATAATGACATTCACTGAGCAGGACTTACACTGTTATGAACAGTCTATCTTGCTATCTGGATATTCCAAAAATAGACTGCACTGCATTTAAAAAGTTCTAATTAGGAAGGCAAAAAAATCCTAGGCAGGCTGAGTTAGAAAAATAATTATCTTACAGAATCAATTATCTGGGAGTAAAATGCATGTAGAATCAAACAATCGCACACAAAAGGAATATACAGAAAAGCTGGAGGTACTGCAAGGAATCTAAATTGTGTATTTACATCAAGGGTCTGTCTCTACAGCAGAAAAATTACAGCAAAGCCTTTCTGGAGAGTGAGACTGGAAAGAAGAGACTTGGTAGTAGATCTGTCTGAAAGTGAAGTAAATGCGGAATGCCAGCAGAACCAGGTGATCAGCACCCAAGAGAGCCAAGAGTTAAAAAAAAAAAAAAACACATAAAACTGATAGCAAAACCATGAGATCATTTGATTCTATTTGCAAAGTGACAGCACACACACCAGAGTATTACTGGGTTGGTGAGGGGGGAGGGATAGTACAATATCATTACTGTTTTGTATACAGGTTATGTAGCAGTTACAGACTCAAGGTTCTCAGACATTTACCTGGCTTTTTTTCCTACTGCTTGCAGTACTAATGTCTCATCTCCTTGCAAGTTCATGTAATTCTCCACTGTTACCCTGTGTTCTGGACAGTGCCTCTGTTCCACTCCAGCAGATGCCACAGTCACTGAAATAGCAGTCTGTCACCACCAAAGTCATCTTGTGTGTGGAAGTGAACTGCAATCTGGCTCGTAGGTCACTATTATTATTTTTGAGTAATGTTTTTGAAGTCATAATCAGCTGTATGTCTGGCATAAATAAGATTATAATGCAGATTTTGCTTCATAGTGATGCTACTGCTGACACATCACTATCCAGTAACAGAAAAAAGCCCCTGAAGTAGAAGCAAGTACAATTTAGCTTCCTCCTCTTAGAGATAAAGGAATGGGAAAAATACTTACCGATTTCAGATAACTTCAGGTAAAAGTAATAAAAATTCTGATTAGCCTCTCAAAACTTGAAATTTCTGACCAGGAACAGAAGCGTAACATCTGTATCACAAAGTAATTTCTTGGGGCGGGGGAGGGGGTGTTAGAATAATTAAAATTGAGAAAATTACAGCCTTATTTCCCTAGAATTTTTATGCTTGATCAGAATGAGAGCTTCTAAGAAAGAATGGCTTTGAAGAGGGTGACTGCAGCAAGGAACTGCAGCCACAGGTTTTTAAAATTTATCAGTTTATTAGAGGAGTTACCACAGTCTAAATGATGGTAAACAGTACATTATACACATATATTCATAACGCCAAACACTGCAAAGCAGCCCAGAAAAATACCTTTTATGAGGCAACAGCCACTGAGCAACTACAAAGCAAAAAAACCCCCAACAGTCTATTATTTCATTCTGCAACAAAACTTGCAGCAAGACTACACACAAGTCACTGTCCTCCTGGTAAGCCACTTGCCTCTTCAACTATTTATAGTATTCTGGCAGAAATCCAGAACAGTAAGAAAGGCCATGGCAACCCTGCCAATACAGTCTGCTCCAGCGAGATTCCCAAGATAGTGGGGAAGTGCTCACGGGATCTAGCTCAATGGTATGTGCTTCAGAAACACCCATCTTGATTCAACCAATTAATACCCTCTGACAAATGAACCCCAAAGAACACTCTGTGGCACTACGAATGTAAATCTTTCTGATAAATTATTGAGACATCACAACAGGAGTCTTCATTTTAAAAACTTTTCCCATGCTCAACAAAGTCATGCTTTTCACACTACTGAGAAGAAGCAGGGTGCTTCTGCCTGTCTCCCTGGGCCTGAAAAGTCACCTACGTACTTATTTGTCATAGAACAAAATGAT